ATTAACTGTACATTATCTTGATGCATATATTTGTATAAATAGTAGATTATTGCTAATAAAAAATAATAAATATAGTTTGAACTTTTTTTATTATTTTTCAGAGTAGGACATTCTTATAAATTCTTTCTAAAAGTAAAAAAGTCTTTAACTATAAAATCAAATAAAAAAAAAAGTAAATAATAAGTTATAATATGTATTTTAACCTTGAAGTTGATTTGAGTGGAGTACTATAAATTTCAAACCTGCATGTTAATAAATATTTTTAAAACACAAACATTTAAAAAAATAAAATGACTTTATCTATTTAAAGAAATAATCAATTTTCTTTGTTTCTTATATCATACCTAATATTAGCATAGGGTACTTGAACAAGAGTTTAAAGTTAAAACACGCGAGTGTTATAAACGTGTGTATAGAATATATCCTAATATTCAGCAAGTAGGTAGTAAGTATAAATTATTTTAAATTGTATACATTACACGATCAAGGAAACAATCATCACCTCACTCGGAAGTCGGAGACGTCATTTTTTTCTCGTTTTTGTCGTTGTTGGAGAAATGAAGTAATAACACGAATAAATATCGTATAATATACATACATGTATGCAATCGCATCAGATGAGATATATAGGTATACCTATATATAGCGTTTGTATTAGTTTTTAAAAACAATATATTTCAAGAGATTTTTGTTCTAAGGCTGAAAATCAGTTGCATTAGTGGTTTTTTGGAAAACCAAAATTACGAAAATATATAATTAAATAATAATTATTTGCAAATACAAACATTGACACACATTTAATATTGGCGTACAACAACGGCTGTACGGGCGCTGGTTGGTGTACGGCGGCATATTATATATATTATATACGTGTATAACAAAATCTGAGAGTGGAGACGAAAATTATTTACAATCCTCAGCGGCCAGTGGCGGGCGGCATTATCTCTCCTCTCGGGGACGGACCGTGGGAATGCGTTAACCGAACGCCCACAGTCGTAGAGTTATATTATATACTGACACAGACTGGTTTTTTTTTCTTATTTCCTTCTCTTCTTTACGTCTGTTGGCCTCTCCTTATCCTCGCGGTCACTACCGATTTCGTTTCATTTCCCGGTAAACAGTTTCGAATCCCTGTATAGTCCATATGATAATTATATATGTATTGTATATACCTAGGTAAGTTGAATTTCGTTGAAAACGAACAAGTACCTATAATTTGCTTTGGTGATTTATATTTCGGCCATTTTTTGAAAAATCAAAATGTATGTACTATGTAAATGATACGTCATGTACTCATATGACTCTATTAGCCTATAGATTATAGGAATGTACAATTGTAGTTATAATTTATCAAAGGGAGTTTGTTTTCTAGAAGTCCGAATAAAATAAAAAGCAGAAAACGAGTTGTCTAACCTATAATAATATGATATATATGTACCTATGATATCTATACAATTGTATGCCCAAAGACAATTTACATAATTGTATTATGATTATTATTTTGTTAGTCCAATGTTATTGTTTAAAAAAAATCTTTTTCTCTAAATTTAAATCTATGCATAATAATATGTATTAAAATACGCGGTTACATATCAAGATTTTTACATGTCTATACATATATATATATATATATATATATATTAGTCTGTAATTTAGCTTCGTTGCGTATAGATATGATTATACTGATATAGTACCTATAATAATAAATTACAACTACGCTAACGGTATGTAATATAATAGTTGAATTTCCTTATATACGAGTGACGAGTCTGATCATTTTTGACTATATTGAAGTGATATAATACTCATTTTTCTATTATTGAAATACAAACTGATTTTTTTTTATTCTGGTAACTTTATAACATATTGATAAAATTTATATTCTTATTGAAATGCCAAAACCCTGGTTTTTATTTCAGTTTTTGGTATATTTAAAATTGAAATGAAATTTTATAAAATAACTTGTTTTCTATCAATCGAAAATATCAAAAAATAACTATTTAATTTATAATTGATCATGGAAATTCTGAGCGGAGCAAAAATAAATATTTTTTTCAATCTAACTACCTATATTTTTTGTAACTGTCGCCACTTTTATTGAAACAGAAAATTTGCTACCATATTTATCGTTTAAGGAAGAATTTTTTTTTTATTGTAATTCAAAACATATTAATCGTGTATATTTAAAAATATATTTGTCTGATTTTTAGTTTTTCCTGTGATAGCGATAAATTTTGTCAACGTTTTTAAAAAAAATACATCTCAGCGTGCAAATAAGATTTAAATAATTGTATGTCTTTAAATAAAAATTAAATTTTGTCATTCAGTTATTTATTTAACAAAATATTACATATAATATTATAATATGAAGATACAGCAAATTAATAATAATTTTTTAGTCCGATAAGGAAACGCTTGCGATGACTATCTAAAAAAAAAAAAAAAAAGAAAGTGGAAAATTTGACATGAATTTTCTATCGTAGTGATGTACTTCCGGTTTCCGATAATGACATTTTTCAGACAGTGACATTGCGTGCTTAAAAAAATTACAACAAAGGTTTATTATTTAATCTAAATTTATTTTTATTCTTTAGAAGGCTAATTATAAATATATACACAATGAACGCGATGAAATAATACACTAATTATGTCACTCGTGAGTTTGTGCGCGCGCCTGTGCGTGTGTGTGAAGCTTATTCTATAATATTAATTGGGTATACAAGTCATAAACTCATTGTTCTATTGCATTCTTAGATGTTTGTCGAAATGGATAGCAATAAATAAAAATATTATAGTGGTATTTGTGTAGGTTGGTCGTTCACAACTCTGACAAAATAATAAATTCATCGAAGAGCGAAAAATTTTTTACACAATATACAGATACACGACTTGACTACAATAAATCGCATAATAAAATATATTTTATTGCAATATACACACACATATATATATATATATACCACACTAATATATTATAATCTTGGTTTGAACCATCGTCACGCTGCAATTTATCTATGTGGACTATATAATATAATTATATGGCTCGAGTATCGATGACCAGGAGAAATCGGTGAAATGCCTATATTTAAGCTACAGTCCGACAATTACTAATAGACGTACAGACCAAATGGCGCAATTACATAAAAGATAAAAGATTCTTGGGATGGACTTTCCTCCCCATCACGCATGAGTAAAATTTAAGTATAAATATTTAAGCTGATATAAATGTATAATACAACTTACTAATGCACGTGGTCAACTAATTACCACCACCTATAGGCTATAACTATATGCGTATAAAATATTAATATATCAATATTCAATACAATAAATTATCATTTCTGGGCAGTAAACCCGCGTGGATTACAATAATTATTACTGTACAGGAAAATCACACGTCATCAAAATATTATATTAGCTGTACCTATTTGTGCCTTTTATAGGTGTCTATTAAATATCACAAACGTATAAAGTATCAATACGTGTACAGCGATGTTTAATTTATTTTTCTCAATCTTTGATCTACATATTTTATCCCTTGAATAATACTAACGTTTTCAATGCTCTCCTGAAGCGTTTGTATAGTTCTGACCTGTATCCAAATCTTGTCCAAAACCGGCACCATATCAATTGCTTTAAAGACATTTTAGACGCAAGACGCACGTGGCCTCCGGCGTGATGGCTGTATACTGTTTTGTTTTTTTTTTTTTAATTTTATTCTTTAATAAAACGTCCACTGGTCAAAATTACAACCTTGCCATACGAGCCTCGAGGTGCCGGTCGCACAACGATAGCGCATATTATTTATACTATATATTATATTTATGTGAATATAATAATATGTATATATATCCACACATTTTTTTTTATTCGAGTTAAATTATTAATATTAAAAGAAAAAAATTAAGAAAAACCGGAACTCGATTTGAAGGCGGTATTCCGCACGCGCCCATAGTTGAAAAATAAAATCACATGCGCAGAAAGAAAATAATAATATTTTTATATATATATATATATACTATTATACTAATAATATTTACATCACATGCAGCAAAAAAAATAAACGGGAACGTTATGCGAAACCGGAAGAACAACATTTAAAAGAGTATATATAATATATCGACTGTTATAGGTACGATTCTTTATGTCGAAAATAATATACATATATTATTATAACACCATTATATATATATTTAACAAACACTTATCTAATTTATGTATTTTCAGTTAATAAATTAAATGTAAGACAACTGTCAAAAAAATTACTCGCGTAGAAACAATCTTTTGATCCATTTTTGTGAACGCGTATATTGTGTATAATTGATTACATATATTTCGTGTATATAACCTTATTATAATCATAATATTGTATTTTTTGATTAGTCAATTAATTTGAGTTAATATATTGAAAAATTACACTGTTTAAAAGTTTTAAAATAAAAATTTGCCATTGATATGTAATGTATCGAATTTGCATATTATTAAAAATATTTGTCGTTACTACTCTATACTCTGCTCTTAAATAATTATTTTGAGTATAGCTAATATACTAAACGTGTATTTTTTTATGTATTATGCAATCCATATTACTTTATGTATATTTGTCTACATAAACTATATACGAATTATTTTACAGCAATAAACGCATATAAAATCTATGTAAACCAACCGTCAACTGTTTTCCCTCGTAAAACTATACTATTGTCACCGTGGGATAATTAAAATACAAAACATCATGTTTATTTCCGTAACATCGTGTTTCAATAATATATGCGGACATTTAATAATAATATATCATGTTCACGATGTTGTCGTAGGTACCTCTATTTGGTAATAATTCATCCGCATAACTAATGCCTAACCGACGAATTATTTAAATCAAATAGGTATATACGGTAATAATAAATCGTAATATTATTTACCGTATGCTCCTGTGAACCTACTTAATACCTGTATATAATATATATTTATCTTATACTCATCGTAGATTTTTATTGCAGGGAAATAGTGTTATTCGTCCAGTGGCCTTCAAACCGGGTTCAATGAGATTCACCGACAACGGCGAAAGATATGGCTCCACGCCTATCCTGGCCAGATCCTCACATAGACATCTATATGGCAGTAAGTTCATTTATATAAAACATATAATGAGATTTTTCCGCATACATGTAGCCATTTATAAGCACATAATATATAATAATAGCAAACACTCGATTACTCGAGTGACCGATACGAGATAAACGAACGTCTATGTATAATACGTAATATACTCGTATTTATATAAACTCAACTATAGATATTTTCTCAAAACAGAATTCCAACGGTTATTTAATTCGCGACCGTAAAGAACTAAAATACAAATTAGATATTCTGAGCGGAGCGATAAATGTGTTAATGTATTAGTTTTATAATGATATGTTGTCGTATTTTTGTTTTGTTTCTGTTATTACTTTTATATATATTATTACATTTTAGAGAAATTCAAATGTTTGAATGCTGAATGAGGTTTCTGGTAAAAATCAGACAAATTAAATCAATTTAGTAGTTTTGGGGAGGGGGTATTAAAAATTTTCCCAGTACTTTAAAAAATAATTGGGTTCAAATTATCGAAAAACGGGATATATTTTACTCAGCGACTGTTGTTTTTGATAATGTCGGTTGATTTTATTGTTGTAACTCAAAAATCAATAACCGTAGACTTGAAATTTTCATCAAATATAAAAACAATTTTTAGACATGATATAAAGAGCCAAAATATTTTGAAAAATAATATCGCTTTTTTATGATATTTATAGACGTATAAAATATTCTACTTTTTAAAGTTATTTTAAATAATTACGCAATGTGTTTGGCAAAAATTAGTTCAACATGCTATACTACAAATATATTAATAATGATGTAAATAAATAAAAAATATCCTTAGAAAAATAGGCTAATTTGCCTTCCGCTCAGAATCGAATTTAATGGTTTATTATTGAATTCAAATATAGCATATTCATTATAGCGACCTACGACCTACCTATACTCTGAAATGAGGAGATACACTCAAAAAATACTATTTAGCAGAACGACTTCTCCGATTATTTTTAACTTAACATATAATGAGTATACCTAAATAATACTTACTATACCTTACTTAGTTATACAATATCATGTTATAATTTGCATACAGGTTTTATTTTTACTTACAGCTGCAAATATTTCTTAAGTCACTATACAAAATTTGAGATTATTTATTTATTTTACCTCATCCGATTTGCTTATACCTATAACCTAACGACAGTTTGATACCAACTTCAATTTAATAAAACAACAAATTTAATTTCCAATACCTGGGATCAAACTGACTACCTATAGTATTCCTACCGAAACATATTTTAGTAACCAATCCGATGGGTCATAGACGAGCTTGATACGCGTACGCTGTACTATAAAATATAATTTATTTATTTTATTAAAAATATTTGGTTGTGTATATAATATATTAAATTAAAGTAACTTATAAATGGATATCGTTATAGTTTACTAGAACTTTTTAATTTGCATGTCACTTCATAATACATAAGACCATATAAGATATAATATTCTATCCTTAGATATAGTTGTTGTTGCGTATGCGTTTATTTAAATGTGTAACTGTTAAACTAACAATATTCGCTTTGAATAAAATCTTAACTATTTTCACATTTTCGTTTTTTTTTCAATTTTTTAATATATTTTAGGTACCAATGAACTACACCATCAATCTAAAAAAGCAAATATGATATCTTCGGGCACGTTAGATCGAAAACTTCGTTCAGCATCCCCAATGGTGATGTCGTCGTTACCGACCCAAACCAGCTGCAAATTTCGACTGGGACAGCAAGACGATTTCAAATCATCCTCCTCATACAGTTCCTATAAAGATTACCGACCCAGGTATACATATAACATTGAGGTACTAATATATATATATATGTACGCATTAACGTGAAATAATTTTATATTTTTAGTTCGAAGTCATTCACAAGACTCAGTAAACGATGCTCAGCGTCCGAAGGGTCAGCTAGTCTGTTGGACCTGACTCCTTCGCCATCCGAATCTACAATGTTATCCGAAATGGAAACAGTGTTAAGAGATAGAGATCGTGAATTGAGGCATCTTCGGCAAACAATGGAGCACAACGAACAAGTAATATTTAGAGTTTATCAGGAGAAAGAAAACGCTTGGGACAGGGAACTGCGGAGGATCAAAGCAATGGGCGATAATCGACTCAAAACAGCCGCACAAAAGTCGCTTAAGCTGGAACAAATGCTTATGATGCAGACGTACAAAGTAAATATGTATAAAGATTTTTTACATTTTGATGTGCAAAATAAGTATTTTATCATACCGTTTATTTAATATTTAATATAAATCTAATTGTCTTTTACATCAGTTACAGGATGAAAAAAAAAAATTACAAGAAGAAAACGAACGTTTGGAGTCCGAGACGACAAATTTGAAAAAAGAAGTAGACGAATTGAAAGTGAGACTTGAGGAAACTGAATGGGGTTTATGTCAAAAATCTGGAGAACTAGCTCACGTAAAATCACAAATGAAAGATACTCAAGTAAGTAGACATTATACATATATATACATAAAACTATACAAGTATAGATACTAAAAACTGTAAGAATATATAAAATCAGATCTCAAGTATTTCTTAATTCAAGGGGTAAGTGAACTGAATTTTTTTGAATTAAATAAATTTGAAAATATGTAGGTATGCAATCAAATTTATAAAATTATATTGTTGGTTTGTAATAATAAATTGTCACAGTTGATTTATAAATAAATAAATAAATTACTAAAATATAAAATTATATTAAAGTTGTTTATTATTGTAACTGTTAAATGTTTATTTAACTATCATACTCATACAGTCAATTAATTATAAAACAAAAAAAAAAAAAACTAAAAAAATTAATGAGCCAATTTTTTACAATAGATACTTAAATACAACTAAAATTGTTTATAAAAAAAAAAACACAAAAGCTAAGCTTAGAAGTGACAATTGGCGCTTCAATCCTCTCTTTTTAGGGAAATATCATAAATATGTATTGATAATTTTACAAACGACGTGTCACTATTGTCTATAAGCATACTCATTGCCCATTGGCACAAATTTTCAGAGCGAACTTACGACAAAAGGTCATGAAGTGATCGCGTTGAAATCAGAAGTCAGAGACCTGTTACAAAAGTTGGAATCAAAAGAACGTCGTATCAACGAATTTGAAGGTAGAAATCTTGAAGAAAGACACAACAATGACAATGGTGGTGACGGCAACTGCTGTGATGACCAATTGACAGCAGACAAACTATGTTCGCTCGTCGGGCAACTCAACGAACAAGTAAGTTGTTTGATCGTAAAGTTTGACATTTCCATCTAAAAAATGTCCAATAGTAAACACGATAATAATATTTTATAATTATTTTTATCGCATTTTTAATAATTTTAGTAACATAACGTGTTGGCAATATTTATATTACATTAATAAATATGTAGTATTATTATCGATGCATTTTGCTTGTGCGCAGGTGGAGAACGAGCTGAGCAAATCGAACAAGTTGCTATCCGGATGCTACAGTACAGAAGACCTGCAGTCGTTGTTTCCAAAGAAGGATACGGAGACGGACTCACCATTGGAAAAATTCAGAGAACTGGAACGGCACACAGCCAAATTGATCCGAGTGCTTAACGAAGAACGGAAGAACTGGGATCAAGAAAGGCTAAAGTGGTTTCAAGAGAAGGAGAAAGTGTTGTGTTACCAAAGGCAGCTTCAGATGAATTATGTGCAAATGTTCAGGAGGACGCAGGCTTTTGAGGCACAGATTGAGAACCTCACCGTCCAAATGAACGTGTGCTCGGACCATTGCACCAGTGGCAAGAACACGACCAGAAAAACGGGTACCACTACAGTGAAGACCGTGAACGCCATTAAACTATAGACAGATTTAAGGACTTTTTTTTATTATTAATCCATCATGTGGGAAGTTATATATTGTTGTGTGAAGTTTTTACCATTTATCATTATTATTATTATTTTTCTTATTATGTTTATATTTTATTGTCTTTTATTTTTGAAATTACGTATTATATTGGTAGGTATACTTCTCTGTATAATAGCAATATACACATATTGTGAATACTTATTTGATAAGGCACATCAATTATTTTGTGTTATTAAAAGTGCAAGTTTTAACACGATCAGTACTTTTTACAAAATACATTTTTACAAGTAGTTAAAAATATTTTATTGATATTCATTGTTATTTAAATTATTATTCTCGATTTGTTTTCATTGTTTTGAATTTAAGCAAAATTGAAAGTAATTTAAACTAGTATACATATACTAGTGATTTGTTAGACGTACCTAATAGTAATTCTACTTAATATTTGATAAATCCAATAATGGTTCTGAACAATATAAATTATACAAAAGGTTTCCAGAAGCTTAATTGCCACATCAATGTGATAAGATTCAGAAGATGTTATGTATATATATAGTATTGTAACGGGAAAAAAATATAAAATTCATAAAATAAATACTAAATAGATATTTAACATAATTATATATTTAAATTAATTAAAACAAGCAATAATACATGTATAATATACAGGAAAATAACAATTATTACGATACTAGAAAATAAAAAGTAAGTATACATTGATAAATACTTTTACTTATTTTTATCAAATTTATAATAATCTTAATTAATATTACTTCGTTAACGCCGAACTACTCGTTTAACATGTTTTTAAAATGTTATAAATATTTCTAAAAAATCTTAAATATTGTATAATAAATATGAATCTATCAATACCATGATGATAAATAATAATACCTATTAAAAATTGTATTAAAAAAATTTCATTTGAACAATCTAAAAACGTTTTAACTTTATTTAAAAATTTAAAAATATAAATTTCGTCCACGTTCTATATTAAATACTTAAATATAGAACTATAGAAGTACCTAATTTATTTTCAAACAACAAAAAACAGAAGATAAAAAAGTACCATCTAAAAGTAATACATTTTTAATTTAAAAACACGGATATAAAATATAAATTTATACTTTATATCTAAGGTTATAAGAAACTGTTATGCTAGACCACACTCGACGAAGCGACGAGAGGCAGCGCTAACATGTGAGTGTGTCGGTTCACTCATTTCGTCTTGCCTCGCCATGTGTGCGCTTCACTCCGAATCGATATTTTGATCTAGCGCTAGCCTGAGCTCGCGAGTCGAAATCGATCGTTGTGATTAAATTATTAAAATCTAACTAACTAACTAAATAAGTTAATTACCTACTAAGCATTAACTATTAACTTATAGTTTACATAAATACTAAAAACTTGAGTTCATTACTTTACTATATGGTAGCTATAATTTTTCTAGTTTATAAACAGTGTAACTTAGTTGCTTAGGATATGCCATGGTCCAAAGGATGATTTAATTTTGATCAGGTATGATTAAAGCAAAAAAGATTGTACATTAATTGAAATTTGTTTTGGTCTTACAATATACTAAATTTTAATTTATTTATTTATTTATTAAACATAACAACACAATGTATAAAAAATAAATATTTTTAAAATTGTTTCAATTACACTCTGAACGGAACAATTGGTTACTTATATAATGTGTTTTTTTTTTTTTGGTCAATGACACTATATTGAAAAAAAATATTTAATATTGTCTCACTTCCAATAAAAAGTGGATCAAATTGTTTATTATGGTTAAAATTACAAAAACAAAAGTATTAACAAAACACTGATTTAAGAAAAATTCAATTTTTTATAAATAAATAACCACAGATTGAAATGTATTTTATATTAGAGTTCTTAAGACAAAAAATAATTTTTTAAATATTTTGGCTTTTAGCTATTTATAGAAATCTTATATTTTTGACTAATTCATTTTATGACAAAAACCATATGCACATTTTCTTTTAAAGACTTGAAAAAATTGAATATTTATTGAAAAATAATTATTTTTACAAATAACAATTGTAATTAAAATCATTTAAAAATTAGTTCAACATATTATTTAACTAATAAAAAAATAAAATACTAATTATTATAATGCAGATAAATTATAGATAATATAATATATATCTTCTGAAAATAAATAGAATATAGAATGTTATATTATGAGAACCATTACTGTAACTGGTTCCAAGAAATAGATTCAAAAAACCTACTATCTATACCATAGAGTGACTATCCTTGGTTTTTAATTATTTTTGTAAAATATATTTTTAAACAATAATTAGAATATTATAACACATGTCACTATTCTAATTTTCTTTTAGAGAAATGTTATTATTTACATATACAAGTAATTTCTGCATGTTCATTAATAATGTAAAAAATAACAAACCAATCAAGTGGTCACAATCACATCATACATAAGAATCCATCCATCCATTAGTGAAAGTCCTGCAGTTAGAATGTTAATATAAATTTCAAAATTTACATATTCATTATTCAGTCTAAAAATAATATTCAAAAATAATTTTATTTATAGTAGACTACATGAGACACTATCGTTATTTAAACAAAAATATAAAATATTATTAAAAATATAACGAAAGATCAAAAATTATTATTTAATATTAACAGTAATGTTAATATTATAAGAAGCATCATATCTCAAAATGTTTAGTAAATAAATACAATTTTATTTCTTTTCAAATCTGTCATAAATTTAATAATTTAATCAACACTCTATCTACGAATAACAGATTCTAAACCTCTTGTACAACTACACCGTTGTCTACATGAAAATGTAGCAAATTTAAATTTGCACTGAAGTTCTCTAGTCTTATTATATATTTATTATACTTTATTTGGAACTTCTTTTGTATTAAATTACAGAACATATTTATTTTGTACTAGGTACCACATTTTAAATAAGCTGATCCTTTAGCTTGTATAACAATACCAGTTTTGATAGCTTGATGAAAAAGAAATATATTATGCAAAGTATTCAATAATATACTAGAAATTCAAATCTTACATAAATTTCCATGGGCTGAAATATCTCTGTCATCACATTATGCATCTGCATATCCTTCATTAACACAGTGGCAATATCTTCAAATTTACTATTATTTTTATCTATTAAGTACTGGTGGTGAGGTATGATTCTTTCGGACTGTTGGATTTTATAAACATTAGCAGACATTCTTGTCAGTATCGGACGAAGCCGAAGAAAAGTTTAGTACTATTGAAATTAAAACAAAATATAATTGTTAGGTATTATCCAAGCATCCAACAACACGGATAAACAGCTATATATAATCAGTTATAATTTTTAGTAGGAAACCGAACTGGGCTGACTTACCTCATCACCCTGTACCCATAACTGATCTGTAAATCTTAAATCGTACCTTTAACCAATTCAACTGAGGATAATTTTATTATTGTGGTACTATCATATTTTCAATATTGCGAAAACTTCCAAGGCCTAAAGTGGTACTATGGAATAACCAGAAAGACCACTTTTTGAGTTTTACACCGGTTCTTATGGGATACAGATTTGTAATAACTGTTAGAATATCAGCGCTGCAGGTAAAAAGATATTTCCCTTTATTTTAATTTTCTAGTGAGACTGTTATTACAAAAATTTTCCAGAACATTAAAAATGTATGTAAGCATTAGCAAATTAATGCGACTAGACAAAAATAAAAATAATGTTACATTTTTTGATAAATTAATAGATGCACTGATATTCCAAGCAAACAAATTGAACAGAATTTTGACTTTTGAGTGCTCAAAAAGAGTCCTTTCTAATTATTCTGCGGTGGACGATGGTCCAGGGTCCTACTCCTGTAATTAGTATAACATGGTTTATTGCTTATCAGAATCCATTGATAACTCTATAGCCGTTGTGTGGTTAGTTGTCATGGTACACCGGTTCATGTGCGATTTTCAGTGCCGGTATCATACATTTATATTTTGGTAAGTAACCGATATGGCGATATACCCCCACCATAAGCTTAAGTAATAAGTTCTATATTTCTATTGCCTATTTATTATGTTGTTTCTTGTTAGTTGTTATTCGTCATTTTGATACTTGTGGAGTCGTGGCTTTTTGGCCTTTTTCGGCTGTTTGAAAACTTTAATCTTATTACAATAGTTACATGATTTCTGACTTTAGTGATATAATTTTCGTATCCGTATTAATTCACGTGCGCCACACTAAAAAATGGCGTCTGGGTCTGAGTCTTTGAAGCGAAAGGCCACGGGTCCTGATTCGTATATCGATGAAGTATGGAAATTTACGAAAGGAACGGTCGACAAAAAGTTGGAGAAGTCCGAACCTTTCCGGATATTTATGTCTCCCATAGAATGTGATCCAGGAACACACACTGAAGAATTAACACTATCGTTTCCAGGTGTGTATACAATTTACTACATATTTCAGAAGACAACCAATTATAGATACATACTGAATTAACCATTAATGTAATAATAGTATTTAAGGTATTAACAATGATGTAATTTTAGCCAAAATACACAAAATAAAATGTATAACTTATTATTTGTTTTAGAACTTTTGGACCAAAGTCTCGGTGATTTGACTGAATCACTTCATATAAACTTCATGGTTGAGCTTGGCTGGTTTCTTGCTCAACATTTCATAACTGATCAAAAGTAATATGATGATAAATCTTATTTATTAATAATATATGAATTAATTTCATTTAATTATTTTATTATACAACATTTTAAGCCTCCTACTATTATTGAAAAGCATTAATAATAATAACAATAACCCATATGCTTATTTTTTAGCTTTACTAAATTTATTTTGTAATTAAACCAATTTAAATCTACAGGTTATTAATAACAATGCTTAACAAAAAATTAAAAAATATCAATATATGGGTTTTAGTAATGTAGTTTCAAAAGGTGACAAAATAACCACGGCTCAAATACAGTAAATAGTGGTGTGTCACAGTAGGCTTTTTTGAGACTATATTATACCTCAAGACCAAAATGGATGGGTGGGTATCAGGCAATGAATTTAGTGGGATAAAAAGTTTTTAATACTAACATGTATCCTATTAAATGAAATAAAAAATGTATACTAAAAGATTTTTTTTACATATCTTAAACATTTAAGATTTTATTTTAATACAGTGAAAACTGTCTAAAGCGGACCCTGAATAAAACGGAAAACTATCCAATACGGAATTTTTCTATGGTCCCGGCATGTTCCTATAGTTTTATATAGACGCTCAACTTCAATAAAACGGAACCTTCATAACGCGTAAATGGAACGATTTTGTAAGTCTCATGCAAGTAAAAACCTTGCATAAACCGGAAAAATGACACGAGCGTATCAAATCTAAACCAAAAAAAAGGTATAAAATATAGATATGCCGATGTACATTGTACATCATTAAATAGTGATAGATAAAGAAGATAAAATTGTTCTATAGGTACATATTCGTAAAATATAATATGCACATTGTAGTATTGTACATACAATGCATATTATCGTATCTTAAACGATACAAAATTTCTTCTTTGTAACTGTGAAACAGTCGTACGTACACTTTTAATTTTATTTTATCTTCCATTCATCGCATTAAATATTAAAATGCCAAAATATAAGTGTCTTTCATTAAATGAAAAATATCAACTGATCAAATTTAATAAATTTTAATGAATTATGTTATGTATTTAAAACAATAAATTAAGAAATATCCTTTGATATTTCTTATTCATTTGAATTGAATAATCCGGAATTTTTCCGTTTTATTGAATAAAGCGGAATTTTTTGTTGGTCCCATGCGATTCCGCTTTAGACAGTTTTTACTGTACTGTTATCGCTATTACATTCAATCATATCTTTACAAATTAATTTTATATTTTTTCATCTACCTATTAGTTATTAATCTACAAATATATTTACATTGTTAATATATCATATTAGATAATAATAAAAAAAAAAAATGTTACGACATTATTTATGTTTTTAGTGTTATAAAATATTGTTTAAAATGACAAAAATTGATGTTTATTCAATATACTGATAACTAATGAGTAATTACATTTGTATTATTTATTTAGTGAACATGTTGGTTGGACATTAGTGCTAGGAGGTTATCCCTATGAGTTCAAATGATATACTACTCTATTTTAAGTACGTAAATAGTTACATAGTGGCCCATAAAACAAATCATTTTTAAATCTTTAAATCCTATTAATGTATAACATATTTAATTAAAAGGATCACTTATAATCTATAGGTAGGAGCTTAAATTTCAAGGCATTGTATCAAATCATACTTAAATGTCTTAAAAAACAATGTTATATTCATACTACTTATTACTTAAAATAAGATAAATTTGTACAATGTAATTTTAATGTATGGTATTATTTTATTTTTAAAATTAAATTCTACTTAATTATTTTTTTTACAGAGGGAAAAATATTACACTTTTATATGAACATTGTGATGAAGATTTAAGTGAATTAGATTTAAAAAAGAAAATTCCTCATTTAAAACATAAAAAAATAATCAATAAAAATGCTTTTGGTCATCAGCATAGGTTAGTATTATTCTTTAAGTTGATGTATAAAAATGAATACTTTCGATTTTAAATGTTATTGTATTTTACATTTTAGTAAGGTATCAATGTTTGCTTATGCTGATGGTAGTTTACGAGTTGTAGTTATGTCTGCTAATTTGTGTGAAGATGATTGGACCAGATTCACTCAAGGGTAAGTCATATGATTGTTGTTTTTGTTTTCAATTAAAACTTTTTAAATTCTAGGATTTGGGTGAGTCCAAAATTTCCATTAAAAAAAGAGGATGATTTGTCAGATGGTAATTCAAAAACTGATTTTAAAATAGATATTTTACGATATTTAAAATCTTATAATGAACAATTATTAAGTCATTGGATAGAAAAAGTTGAAAAAGTTGATTTCAGTCAAGCAAAGTTAGAATTTAGAATTCATTAAAAGCTAAAATTATGAATGAAAAACATTAAAAACTTTTTGTTGTGTAGTGTGTTTTTCATACCTAGTGTTCCAGGCAAGCACCAAGAACAGTTATGGGGTCATTTATATTTGAAAAGTATTTTGGAAAAACATGCTCATCTACCTTTTCGTGTACCATCAGAATGGCCTATAATAGCACAATGTTCCTCTCTGGGGTCTTTGGGTACTACAGAAAATGGATGGTTAAAATCAGAGTTTATCAATAGTCTATCAGCATCTACTTATTATGATCCTTCAATAAGAGACGGATATCCTGTTCCCTTCAAATTGGTTGGTTAAATACAAAATTAATTTAGTATTTAACCTGAATAATGAATTATATCTTATAGATTTATCCATCTGAAAAAAATGTTTTGAATAGTTGGAATGGACCATTAGATGGTGTCTGTTTGCCTTACAATAAGATGACACACAAAAAACAAAAATGGCTTAAAAGATACATGTGGTAAATATTTTATAAATTTTTGAACAATTTTGACCTTACATATAATCTTTATATTGATATATTGTTTTTTAGCTCGTGGGAGTGCTATTCACGGAAAAGATCAAAGGCCATGCCTCATATAAAAACATACTGCCGAGTTTCATCTTGTTATTCAAAAATGTCTTGGTTTTTGTTGACTAGCGCTAATTTATCAGTAGCTGCTTGGGGCAGAAAACTTAAGTCAGAAGATCAGAGTAACTACATAATGGCACATGAAGCAGGAGTTTTGTTATTGCCTAGTTTTGTGGTAGTTATAGATTTTTTTATCTTTTAAATGTTTTATTCTTTTAACTATTAATTATCTATTTTTACAGACTGGAACAGATACATTTCATATAGACCCAATCGAAAATAGTAAACCACTATATTTCTCTTTCCCTTTCGACTTGCCATTAACTACATATGATTTAGAGGACGAGCCTTGGACTATTTAATATTAAATACATTCATTATAAATAATTTTTTACACTTGTTTATAATGAAATAATGTATACTTTCTAAATTAATATTCTCTCATTTTTTTTTAGTGTACCTGGTAATGATAAAATAATACTTTTTTAATTTTATATTCACTATTAAACAGTTTTTCAATAGAAAACTATTGTTTATGGATATTTTTATTTAATCATGTATAATTTGAAAATACAACAGTTCCCAAATATGTTGTAATTTATTATTTAGATGTGTTATTGTTGATATTTTATTTAGGAATTTGTGCTTGGCATGCAAATGTTGCATTTATATCTTTTTTTGAAAGATCATCTCCAAGATCTTTACCAAATTGAAGTTGCTCACTACTTTTAAAATGATAATAGCATTATAGCTCCTATAAACTCAATGAAATACTGATTGTGATAGCATCATTATCTAAAAATAATATTTTAGTTATAAGCTGTTTTGTTTAATATTAATTCTAATTTAGTTTATAAAAATAATATTTATTTATTATTAAAGGATTACCTGAGTGTAAAGTTTTATATTGACATTATTCTAGGGTTGTACATGAACATAATATTTAGAAATATTTCCACTGGAATCAATGTCACCTATCAAAAAACTAAGATCATCAGGCCCAACAAGATAGATTGTAATTTGTCGCTATGTGTAACTGAATTTCCTATATGGCTGTGGCTAACAATAAAACGATTGCTTAATCCTTTATTAATGACAAGTTGATGCCCTCAAAAAGTTATTGAAAACAGTTCTACAATAACATTAAATGTTTAATTAAAAACAGTATAGGAACAAAACTATACAATAATATAAGAAATAGGTACAAAACAAACTTTTGCATTTTTTGTGAATTCATCAACAGATCTTACAGATCAGTTTTCAATGTGATTTTTAGAAGGCAGGATTTGTATGTCAAACACAAATTTCAACATTCAAGGTATAAGACAAAAATAATTTATCGAGGCAGCTTGTGCGATGTCGTGGGTCGCCATCTATACCGCCGTATAAATGTCATATCACTATATCAGACGGTATCGGTGGTAAAATCTAAAAAGGTTGAGAAGTGAGAATTGTTCGATTTGGACATTGCACATAACGTTTTTACTTGGATGGAATTTTTCTATATAAAACACAGAATAAATCCAATATTGCAATTTAGCAATATCTTAAAAAAAAAGTAACTAATTGGTTGAATATACATGACTTGACATTTTAGCAAATGAAGAATGAACAGTGTGACATGATATAAAGAAAAAATAGGTTAGTTTATCAGCTAGACTCAGCTTTATCTATAAAACTTGGTTGTGATACCCATAATCCACATTGATATCCGACATACACTTTTCTTCCGGATCGTATGGCTTACTGCTTACTGTCTACTTACCTGAGTAATAATTATTAAAAATAATACTTTACAGTTTAGTGTTTACGCGGTGTTATGCAACATACTGAAAAGTTTGAAGTTAGTGATAAGGTTTTTTATAGTAAGTTCAGTTTGCTTATTGAAGTACCAAATACACCATACACCTGAAACTCAGAAATATAAAGTTTAGCCAACACCGTGAATCACAACAAGTACAGTCTCATTAGGTAATGCTAATCATTTTTATTTTATGAACATAATAAATTAACACACTTGCTGGGTGTTAATATTGGGTAATTTCCCAATTTATATTATTTACTGCTTCTCAAATCTGCTTATTTTATGAAAATGTGTAGATTGTAGATTTTTATTTAAACTATAAAAAAGAAACTGCATTAGGTACTATTTTTTTATTTCAGATGGCCAACCTTTATAAAAACTACTTGAAACTGTTGAAACAATGGCCGTTAGACCCCAGTAAAACTGGCAGGTAGGTGAAATTTTACTCATAACATCTTTTGTTATTTTGAGTTTATGTCCTCATTTGTACATTTTATGATTGGTGACATTAGTATTAACTATTTGACTTATTATTGCTTAGAGATCTGGGTGAACACATACGTAAGGAAGTGGGAGTAGCTTTCAGCTCTGGTGATTCCTTCCGTGGTGATACCACAAAGTGCTTAAAGAAATACGAGTCCCTCAAACGTCTTGCCGACAACTACTACGGCAACAAATACAAGCGTTCTATCCAAAAATCAGCATCTGGACTCAGTGTTCAACATTGCACATCTGTATTATCCAAAGAATCTCTTGAGATTTTAAATAAACACAATGAAGGCTTTTTTAAGACAACTTTTAACAAAATCAAGGACAAAATTAGTCCGTCAAATCAACAGTAGGCCTCACAAGCCAGTACTGCTGGAAGAAGCAATTAGTTATCTATCACCACAAAACGGCCATAACATCATAGATATGACATTCGGTGCTGGGGGACATACTGAGCGGATTCTGCAAGAAAATGATACAACAGTTGTTTATTGTTTGGACAGAGACCCAACAGCATGTGCCATAGCAAAAAAACTTTCTGAACGTTATCCAAATAGGGTAGTACCTTTAAAAGGAAAATTTAGTGATTTGCCAGTTCTGTTGAAAAATTTAGGATGCAAAATGAATAGCTTTGATGGTATTTTATTTGATTTTGGTGCTTCCTCTATGCAATTTGACACTGCTTCCAGAGGCTTTTCAATTAGTAAGAATGGCCCTTTGGATATGCGAATGGATCCCGAAGAACAAACAATTACAGCAGCAGACGTGTTAGCCAAAGCTGATCAATCAGATCTATATAAAATATTTAAAGTATACGGGGAAGAAAAACAGTCAAAAAAAATTGCAAATGCTGTTATTGAAGCAAGGTACAATTCTTAGCTATTAATACAAATAAAATTAAGTTTTTGTGTTAGTAAACTGATATTTTTTAGAGGTTTAAAATTTAATTAGGTTTATTAAATATTATTTATTTAAATTCTCATTTTTAATATACCTAATACATTTAATTACAACATGAAATATTGAAATATTATATTCTGGATCGTTAATTAATATTTTATTTACTTTTTTTTGTACTTCAGGTATTTATTTAAGCCACTAAAAACTACGCGTGATTTTTGTGAACTTGTGCAAAATGTTTGCAACAATGAGATGAGAACTGACATGTTGCATAGGCCATCTCATCCGGCTACTAAAGTGTTCCAAGCATTACGCATATTTATCAACAATGAATTGAACGAAATCAACCACAGTATAGTGTTGGCAAGCCATTATTTGAAAATAGGTGGAATCATGGTGACTGTTGCTTTTCATTCCCTTGAAGATACCATAGTAAAACGACATATTCAGGGTAATGTCAATGATAACATGGCTAATACTCTACCCCTGAAGTATATTAATCCAATGCAGGCCTATGATAAAGAGTTTATGAATGTTGTAAATGACACTTGTTGGCATCAAATCCACAAGCATGTAATTACTCCAAGTATTGAAGAAGTTGAATCAAATCCTAGAAGCAGATCAGCACGTCTCAGGGCGGCCGTTCGAATTAAATAGTTTTTGTTAGAGTATGTAATTTTATTTTTATAGATTAAATATAATTTTATTAATGTATTGTTCTTTAAAATAATTATTTAATTTACATCCAAGTAATTGGTTAAAATAATCTTATCAAGTTTAAATGAATAATAAACAAGAAACATAAGCCTTTAATAAAACCAGTACTAATAAGCACTAAAAGTATAAATAAAAAACTATGTCATAAAGTTGATTGAAGTACTGTAAAAAAATTTAAAATTATCCTTAACTTTAAATAATGAAAACACATTCCCTTAAAAAAATGTTCAATGAAAATAATGATAAATTTACTCTTAATAGTGAACTTAATCAGTAATATTTAACAGTTTTTAATTCTAAAAAATATTACTGAATCTGTTAATTAACAAATAATTAATTAAAACATTTTTTTAAATAAATTATTGGTTAGTAATAATTTATTAAAAGTAATGAATTCATTGATTTAAAATTAATATTTTAATAATTTACTTAAACATTTCTCAACTATTAAAATGAAGTGAATATTCTCAAAATTACTTTTTTTATTTTGCATTAATCAAAATGCTAATAATACAATCAATATTGATTGTAAAAAGATGGTTAAAGCTTATAAAACTGAGATTATAATAAAATCACGGTTTGTAAATGTTTTATTTTAATGTACAATTTAAATAGAATTTGGTATTTATTTATTATTGTTGAATAGCACCATAGTAAAATCATTTCTTTATTCTACTAAAATACCTAAATATTTATTAAATGTATTTTTAGTATTTTGTTTTGAATTATGAACACTAAAATTAAAGGAATGGTAATAAGATAGATTTATTAATATCCAACAAAGGGATCAAATATAAACAATACAAAATTTAGAAAAAATAGTTATTTATCAGAAGCTAAGGAGGATAATTAAATATCTTGTTGTAAACAATAGAATCTATTTAGGTATATACAGTAATTAATAGATAGATGGACACAACAGAGATATAAGGCGTTCTTAACATAAATGTTCAAAAATGAAGTGCAATTTCTAACATTTCTTGTTATTTGTTTCTGAGACAAAGACATTAAATGAGAGAGTAACATCCTCTTAATTTTGATTCTGAAATTGTACCTATGGTATTATGTATTTATAATCCATATTATTATAATAATCATATTGTCTTAGTGGCCAATTAATCTAAAAGAAGAAGAAGAATGATTTTTTTTATCATCTTAAATGCCAACAATTTGTAAGCTTTTGTTGTAACTCAGAATCTGCAAAACTAAGTTTTAAAAATATTTGACATTTTGATTAAAAAATATATTTATAACAGAACTAAGAGTATCATTTAATACTGAAAAAATAATGTACCAAACATTTGTTGGTAACTTGACTTTATTTAAAAGTGAAAATACAATATAAGTTTTTCAGTTATACAATATCAGATGGATTTGTGTTATAATAAATAAAATATTTGATGTGATATAAAACAAATTAAAAACTCCATAATATATTTATATTTTATTTATTAGTTATGAAAGAAAATAGAAAAAATGAAAACAATTGAAATATAATAATAATAGGTATTTGCATTTCA